CGTGAATGTGTGTGTGTGTGTGTGTGTGTATGTGTAAGCTCATTTATCTTGTGGGGGAATGAGCAAGGGAACAAGGACGCCCCGGGAGGCGACCAGATCATTACCCATCTGGGATCAGAGACAGAGAGAGAGATTTCACTAACGCTGTGCAGAGCCACACACACACACACACACACCGACACACACACATGCACAATGTATCAATGTAACGAAAGGAGACAAATCTCATTTTCATTTGGGGACGGAGAGGCACAGAAGCTCCACAAATACGTGCATTTATAGCAAGTGGAGAGGAGTGAGGCGGGGAATTGTTCCAGCCAGCTGACTGTTCCATTGCAATCATTCAGCATCTCGTTGGCTGGCTTTAAATGGATACTTAGATTAAGGCATGTTCTGCTCCAGGTGGCCAATAACACCTCAGCTAGAACATCATGTAGCGACACATTCTGGCCTTAACTAAGTCATAACGTCACATCTTCTCCTGGAAATTCTTAGGATTTAAGGTAGTTCTTGGAACTATGCTTCAGGTGAGAGTTGATGATTCCAACTAAATGAGATCTGTTCCTTGCCAGGACATATTCCCTTACTGACATTAGTCTTAGTTGTGTATGGTCTATGGCAGGAACATTTATTACAAAACGGTCTTAAAGTAACTGCTTTGGAAAGAAACTTGGACTCGATGCCATCTAAAACTGTCCAACACTAGACAACAACAATGAGTTGTTTCACAGAAAAACAATTGCCAACTTTTTCGATAATTGATTATTTGTTCATCTGGAACTCAGTTGTTCAGTCTCTAAAAAACTAAAAAAATATTTCATGCTTTTCTCAGTTTTATATTGTATTAAACTGTATGAAAATATATTTCAAGGTACCAGGGTGGACTTCGGGAAATTTGGATGCACATTTCTCATGTTTTTCTGACATTTTATAACCAATTAATTGATATATCGATATGTATATATCTATATATATAGAAAGTGATCGGCACATTTATCACAATGAAAATAATCCTTAGTTGCATCTCTATCCTCAACAATAACAAATAGCTTTGCAACTATTTAATGTAAACAGCACCATAGGAGGGCAACGCTTCCTCACCGACATCAATACCATGCCTACTGTGCACAAATAGATCAATCAGCGCTGTTTGACCATTGCCTCTACACACACACCTGCTTACATCTCATTCTCTCAGACACAAAGATAAACAAGGACGATCACAGCACGAAAAAAAAGAAACTTCAAATGCATACCCACACACACACACACACACACACACACACACACACACACACACACACACACACACACACACACACACACACACACACACACACACACACACACACACACACACACACACACACACACACACACACACACACACACACACACACACACACACACACACACACACACACACACACACACACACACACACACACACACACACACACACACACACACACACACATTGCAGGGCTGTTTCTGATCAATACACTTCAAGCTGCTCTGCTTATTCACCAGTTATCCCATCTGCTGATATTTAATATGGGTAACACACACACTGAGGATTGATTCATCTAAATGAAGCATTTAGCGCGTGCTGTCTCCCCAGGGCTGATGGGAAACATTCTTAATAAAGGAAAGCTATAAAAATGGCTATTCTCAAAAGTAATGTTTTTAGTAAATATACATTTAACACCTTCCTTAATCGTATTATGTCATTGGATTCCTGCTCTGTTAGCCACTGCAGCTTTGACTGAGGTTTCCAATAAGAGGAAAAACAACACACACACACAAACACATCATTCCCACCTTTACATTTTGCCTGAGGAAATGAAACTGAAAGCGGGAAAGGTTAGGAAAATGAGATGAGAGGGGGGATTTTTAGGGGGTATTCTAAAAAGGCACTTTGGGTGGACAAAGGAAAACACTTTAGGAAATAGGGTCTGGGATGGAAGGCAACAAGCATACTGACCCCAGCGCAGTGTGTGTAATCGCACGGGGCAAAAGGACAGGAGAATACGCCAGACATGCAGAAGCAACCAATCAACCAAATCCCTCTTTCTCTTTGCTCGCTTGCCCACTGACGTTTCTCTCTCGCAATGAGCTGACCTCTATTGCCCATGCGGGGGACAGGGTGTGTGTGTGTGTGTGTGTGTGATTGTTTGCTTGTGGCAGAATATGGATGAGGAGATGGAAATGAGGGAATTACAGAGCGCTGGCCACACACACACACACACACACACACACACACACACACACACACACACACACACACACACACACACACACACACACACACACACACACACACACACACACACACACACACACACACACACACACACACACACACACACACACACACACACACACACACACACACACACACACACACACACACACACACACACACACAGTGCTTGTTTGCAGCACAGCAAAGCGAGGGGGCTTTTTTTGTTCTGTCCAACATTGACAATGACAATATGACGCCCGTCCACACAGCGGCGTGCGTTGAAGCTTCCAACGCTTCTGCCCATTCACTTTGAATGGGGTGACGTCACTTTTCGCCGAACTGCATCGTGGGAAGCGACGTGGAGCGTTGCTGGCGTGGCTCGCTGCAAAAGTTGAGCAATGTTCAACTTTTGACGCCTCGGCAGAAGCGTCAGCCAATCGAATCGTATGCCAGTACAAGCTCTAGCCAATCAAACCGCTGCTTGTGTGTCAGGGGCGGGAGATTCATGTGATTAGTTGTTGGTCGAGTGTCAGACACGCCCGCCGGCAAGCTTCAACGCACGCTGCTGTGTGGACGGGCTGTAAGGCTGAATTGCTAAACCTGGTATTTTTTCAGTTAAAGTACTGCTCTTTTTTGATAATATAGGTTGACTGAGTCGGCTGCAAGGCTGTACTTCGACCAGTATTGTGAAACTTGAATTGGATTTGCTTTTTTATATACGAAGTATCATTTGTTGGGTCCTTTCTTTGTGCTAAATTTAGGTTGGGGGAGATCTGCAACATTGAGACCCTCGACGTTTGTGTCGTTTTTGGTTCATGGCCTCCTAGAATACGAAAATATAATTCAAATGCACACTGACTGAACAAATACACTTTTATTTCTGGGTAAAAACAGGTGACAGTGTTGACTTGTTCAATTCTGATACATCTATAGTGGTTAACATGCAGAGTCTCTTTGAATAACAAGTGTTTGTTCACACACTTATTCATGTAGATGGCTATGTTAACAGGGACGGACATTTTGATTTTAATACGTTTGGGTAATAGTTCATAATTTTGAGCAATGTGTGTCATTAGCAGTGTTGTGCTAGTTACTGAAAACCAGTAACTAGTTACCATTACTAGTTACTTCATTTCAAAAGTAACTCAGTTACTTTACTGATTGCTTACACCAAAAAGTAATGCGTTACTGTGAAAAGTAACTTTTTAGTTACTTACAAAATGTCTCCCATTAATGCCCTTATAGCCTTCATTTCAGTACTGTTATTGCATTGGAGAATAATACAATCTGTTGATCAACTTGACATGCATTATATGCAATCTGGATTGCATCGATATTAGCTGGCTTTCCATTTTTGTATATTCTTTCTCCAGGTAGTTGGAAAAAGTTTTCCGTCCCATATGCCGTGTGCCGCCCGGACATGCTATCATGCTAACTAGCTCCCTGAAAGCGGGTGACTCCACTGTAGCAATAGCCTGCATGTGTTCTACAACATACCGTGCAATGGCTTTATCGACTTTTCCCTGGCGAGCAGTCCCTTGGGCGTCGGCTGAGTCTGGGTCTGTGCCGGTCTTAGTTACTAGCTTCGTCCCAGCATGTTGTTTTTGCAGATGTTTTAAGAGATTTGAATTACTGGTTTGGGCAGTAGATAAGATCTTTGACCTGCCAAGACACAACTTACATTTAACTAAAACGTTCTTTTCTTTGTGCTCGACAAAAGTGAAATAGTGAGAATATCTCCAGGTGGAGAAACTAGACTTGAGCTTCGCCGCCGCCATGATAGTCTTGTTAGTAAACAACACAAACACGCCCACAGCGCGTCTCCACATGTGACACAGGAAGTATCTAAGTACATTTACTCAAGTACTGTACTTAAGTACAGTTCTCATCTCTGTCTGGCTGTTGACTATATAAAAAAACTAACGCAGTAACGGAGTAACGCACCGTGTAGTAACGGTAACTGAGTTACTGAATTTAAAAAGTAATGCGTTAGAGTACTAGTTACTGCCAAAAATAACGGCGTTACAGTAACGCGTTACTTGTAACGCGTTAGTCCCAACACTGGTCATTATGGTCATTTGTTTTCCCTAATGTCTGCCTCCAATCTATGAATGCCACAAGTGTGATGTTCAGGGTCCAATCTTATGTTATCTTATTAATCGGTGTTGTTGTGAGATAACATTAGCATCTTTTCACACTGCTGCCTTCACGAGTATGTCCCGTATCGGCTTGTGTCTATGTCGCCATTAATGATTCTAAGGCAGCTGAGGGGACACAACTGCAGGAAAATCAATACCTGGAGACACACTCCTAGTCACACACACACACACACACACACACACACACACACACACACACACACACACACACACACACACACACACACACACACACACACACACACACACACACACACACACACCACACACACACACACACACACACACACACACACACACACACACACACACACACACACACACACACACACACACACACACACACACACACACACACACACACACACACACACACACACACACACACACACACACACACACACACACACAAATTGCATCATTTATGACCGTCTACAAGTCGACTCTCCCACAAGTACGAAAACTCATCACAAAGTCATAGAATCGCAGAGTGTGTGTTTGAGACGTCTGATGTGACGATGGGAAACGTGACAGTCGTTTCTGCCTCATCTTTCAAACTAAATCACAAAGCGTGTGTGCACATACGAGTAACCTACTTTTCGATCTCGCTGTTTTTACAGGTGCGCGGGGCGCAGGAGGAAGAGCAGGAGGATGAAGGAGTGCCGGGGTCTGTCTTGCTGCTTTCTCCGTTGCTTGTTGAAGGCATCTCTGTAAACACAAACAGGAGGCATGGTTAACACTGGACAACAAGCTTCAATTAGCATTCAACAGCTCAATGCTACATTCCTAGAAACTGTCAAAATGAGTAGATTAAGTGAAACGAATATATAATAATATGCTTTATAAATACAAGACTTAATTTGACAACATCTTGGCTCTTAAATTGATTAACTGAGCTCATGACTTGTGGTAAATGTTACACCTATTGAATGGGGGATTTGTTTGCTAATAAAACCTATGGCACTTTTGACAAAGATCTATCTTTTCGTGTGAGTAAGTATATACACTTTATATGAAGTCCTGCAATACTAAACTCTTATTAATACATTTGTGAAATGAAAATCTTACCGTCGCTGGCCCATTTGGAGCATTCAGGCGTTATTCTGTTAGAAGGCATCCCACCGCTGCAACACAGAGACACAACAGTTAGTATTAACCTTTAGGGTGCATTCCATTAGCCAACATTAGTTAACTCTGCTAGCTCATTGTTAAGGTTTCGTACTTGAGCACGGCCCCCCGTAGCGCCTCCCTCTCCCGGGCCTCCCCCTGGTCCTCCCCGGCCCCGGAGCAGGGGATGATGTCGGCCTCGGTGTACTGCGCCTTGCCGTACTCCAAGGTGTCGTCTCCGTCCACGTCTAAGTCTGCGTCGCTGTCTGCCGCGCTCTCCTTGACGCTACACGTGGCGAAACCAGTTCCTGTGAAAGTAATTCAAAGACCATTTTTTAGGATTATTTATATTTCACATCACTAACCTTGGAAATTGTGTGCGGGAGTGTGACAGAACATTGGTCCCAAGTGCTTTGATATATTGAAAAACTGGTGATCAGCTGAATTTTGAGCCCACATTTAAATAGTACAATCCCACAGCTAATCACTCGTACTCCAACGCAATGCAGTGAGGTTTGTTCTAAAAGTTATTGAATGAATTACATGCTAATTGCTGCTCAAAAAAGCCCCAAAGTGAAAAAACACTGTTATTGTGGCACATGAAAATAGCAATGTATAGAAAAATCAGAAGGGGGCATTAGAAATCAAAACACTGTTTTATTTTCAAATATTTGTACATACTTAATACATTTTTAATTACATATTGTTATCATTACGTATCATTGTATCCCTTAGCTGAAATATGGCTATAATTTCTTCTTTTTTTAACTACACAACATAACTAACTTCAAAACTTCATCCTGAGAAACTTTAAGATCTTACATTTTGCTCAGTTAAAACTTTACTTTTTCCCTTTCCAATTACAGGTCTGTAGATGGGAAAATATTTGGTCAGAAAGACAGCGTTCAGACATGGGTGAACTGATGAAGACTGACACCTCGCCCATCAATCCCTGAGAGAAAGAGAGGGCGAGTGTGTGTGTGTGTGTGTGAGTGGCACTTCTATAAACCCAGTGATAAACGCTCAGACAAACCCTCACCGCTGCCTGACTGCTCCCTTCAGCTCCACTTAGCCACAGAGCTGGCTGTGTGTGTGTCCGTCACTTAAGAGGCGTCTCCTCAGTGTTTGTTTTAGACTGTCTGTCCCTCTGTCACTTAGGACCCTTCTCTCCAACCCCCTTGAAGGAGTGTGTGTGTGTGTGCACGCACGTGTGAGTCAGTCTACCTGTCACTTACTCGTGTCTATCTACCACGCATAGGTAGGTAAGGTGTGTGTGAGTTACTATTTGAGCACTTGCAGGTGGGTAGGTGTGTGTGTTTCACTTGAGATGTGACTGAATGTTTCTGTGTGTGTGTGTGTGTGTGTACCAGTGACAGGCTGACAGCCATCTTATTTACACCTATCCCAATTTCTACAAGCTCTTAGCTGGACTAGTGTGCTCTGTGTGTATGTGACAAGTGTGTGTGTGTGTGTGTGTGTGTGTGTGTGTGTGTATATGGGACCAGATTGAAGCTCGACACCGTTGACAGCCATCTTATTTAACCCCCCTGTCCCAGTATGTGTGTCTCGATACTTGACTCCCTCTCAGTGCACTACACTGTTTCACTGTGGCGTCTTTGTCAAAGTGCAAATCAGCCGCTCTAAGACTCGTCTTGGAGGAGATTTAAACACCTGCTCCTCCTCCTTAACTGCAGAATTCATTTCAGTCTTACTCTAGAAAATCATTTTAAAAATGAGGCTGGAGGAGAATGAATGTGAGTGTCGAACGGTAAAGCCAGCAAGATAACACGCGCCACCAATGCTAAGCTGTTTTACTACAGGGGCCATGGTTTTTAGTGACCAAATAAAAAGGACCTTTTAACTTTTATTCGGTCTCCGCAGCAGAAGGGATCATACGGTAACAATGGGCACGCAGTGTAAATCTCTGCTCCGCTCGGCTACTGAGGCTTTAGTTACTCAGGGCACAGCAGAAGGTGAACAGAGCACGTGTCACATTATACCTGGTTGAACTACATTCATTTTTTCACTGGCAGATTTTCTAATCGCTAATTAGTTTGGTTAGGGTACAGTTCTGTGTTTCAGGGAACTGCGTTTTATTTCTGACCTGTCTTTCACCTACTACAACCTTTTGTTGACGTATGAGGTCCATACTTAGGTTCACACATGGAGGTAGGACCAATGTTCTCTGGTCTTTTTACATCTAACCTTAAGCCAGTCTACCCAGAATGCCTTTGTCAGAAAGATTAGGTACCAAGCTTTGAAAGGCAGGCTTCTTATCCAGCAGATGTACATGAGAGTAAAACAGATATCCTTTACTGCAAACCACCAATGCTTTAGTGGTTGGGGCATAATCTGATCAACTGATTTCACTATAGATCTTGTGGCTAGTTAGCCACAATAACTGGCTTCAAGAATTGGAACTTGGGCATGTGGGTAGAGGTTTTTCCAGATGTTGCCTCAACCTCAAAGCCACAGAGATGCTCCAGAATCTGTGCTTTGATCATAAACCCGACATAAGTGGATCCATAAAAACCTGTAGCCTGAGGGATTATTAACTTTACAGGTTCTGTACAGGACTGATCTGAGGATCAGTTATGGGTCTAAAATACAGTTGAGAATAAATAAAACAAAGCACAAGACAAAGACTTTTCAACTAACCGGGCAAATATACAGTATATTACAGTAGTATATCGATGAGTGTCGATTTTTGTGGGGTGATTTTGGGTCTGTTTATTTAGTTAATTTAATGGTTGTGTGAGTTAGTCTTTTAACTGTTCTAAGAATAACCAAGGCTGCTTTGATGAATGTATGTGTTTCATATTTCTAAACTGAAACTGTGGCCTAGGTCAGGATGCCGCAACACACAGAATTGCACGAATATATCTTCAATAGCAGAGGTTGACCAGTTGGACTATTTTTTAAATATCGCCCAAACCTTAAAAGATGGATATGATGTGTTATTTTCTTACAGATATGTGGCCTATTTTAGCATAGACAAACTGTACATGTCTTAGGTGTTTTAAATGTGAGCATATGTGTGGCCCGCTGTGTGTGTGTGTGTGTGTGTGTGTGTGTGTGTGTGTGTGTGTGTGTGTGTGTGTGTGTGTGTGTGTCGGTGCTTCTATCTGTCCCTCTAAGCAGTCTTGGCAGGCCAATCTAATCTGGCCAAGGAAAGGTCAGCCCCACTCTAACTGCCTTTCACTCACATTATGCACCCACATCCCACCCCCCACTTTCCTTTTTACCCCTCCACCTCTTCTTATTTATTCCTCACCTTATTTCCCCTCCTTTTTACGTCATCACTCCTTTCTTACCTTTATACTTTCGCATTTATCCGACGTATCCCCTTTCTACTAATGTTCCCTTCCTTGTGTTTTTGACTGTTCTCTTTTACCACGTTGATTTTTCTCTCTACTCCTGTATCAATTGTTCTCTCCCCCCCCCCTTGTACCAGTTTCCTCTCTTTTTCCGCTTGACAGGCGTGATCAATACACACACTTCCCGACTCCTACAGGGCCATCCTGGTCTGCCTCATTATCATAACCATCTCCTGAATACCGGTGACTCTTAACATGCTAACTACATGTTTTATCCTCTGATTTACATGTTTGCGACAGCGAACACACTCAATCTACATAGGTGTCACCTCAGCGCTGCTACAAGTCAAGATCTGAGGAGGCAGGCGGGATCAAAGACTCATCAGGCTGACTGACAGCCCGGATCAACCAATCCACCGACCTTGCAGACATTCCGTTACCATAGCAATTATCTGGACCCTCTAAGAAGCAGAGAGGAGGAGAGTCAAAGGTCATCACACTATCTTTCTGCCATTTACAGGTCAGAGAGAGAGAGATGGGGAAAGGGAGACAGACACAAAGACGGCCATCTTTGAAGTCCATTTACAAAGCGCAGATTTTCTCCTCTCTCTCAATCCCTCTGGGCCATCTCATCCTGCAGTAATCCCCCTCTTCTTCTCCTCCTCCGTCTCTCAGGACGGGCTGATATCAGACCTCTGGATCTGTCTGCCTCCCTGTCTGCGGATAAACTCACAGATCAACCACTCTGTTCAATGCCTGGTAATGCCAATGGAAAAGCACTAGAGAACCAAATATGAATAGGAAAAAAACTAAAAATATGTTGTATTCAAATGTATTTTTAGTTTTGGCTGTCATTCCAGCCAAAATGTTCATAATTGATTACTTGGTGAAATATCATTAAAGTATTGCAGTTGTTTGCTGGATATCAGGAACTTGAAGTGCTATTGGACAATAGAACACTTTGAGCACCCCCATTGGGCTCTGAAAAACTTTGTACTGAATTTGAAAGTATTCCCTGGCATCGTGCTTTCAAAATGATTCCATTGTGAAAGAACAAAAGTGTCTATTTGCAGATCTCTCAGAATGTCTTTTTAGCCTTGTTAAACTATTCTTTAAATATTTCCTCATTGTAATCTACATTTATTGGAGTTTAAACTATTTTATTAAGGATCACTTTTTTGTGCTGCTTGATTGAAGACAAATAATGAGAATAATTGATTTGATATGAAAATAAGGGCTTTGCACCCTTAAAGTCTGAACATGTTTACGTTTTGGAATCTGTACAAAAACTGGGCTCTCTTATCGGCGCTAATATCAAAACAATTCAAATGGCACAATCCAAAGTGCATGACATTATGATGAAAACTTGGGCCACATTTTTATAATGTATCCCGCAAGGTTAAGAAGCTAAATCTAGTTGCTTTCCGGCTCATAAAACGGACACTTGGACCGACAGACAGTCCACTAGACAGATGAAGAAGGCTCTCTGTCTGAGCTGAGGCTCCTTTCAACCTGGCTAAGCCGGTGCGAGACACAGGGAAGTCTTCCCTCACACAGAGTTCAATCATAAACGGATCTTGTTCGATTTTCCTCCCTCCCTCCCTCCTCCCCTTGAAAGGGCCCCGTTCCCTCTGCCTTTCTTCCTGGCGCTCTCAAAGGGAGGGAAGGATGGTGGCACTTCACAGAGGGATAGGCCCTCTCTTCATGCCACCAGCTGAGGAGACCCCCTGCAACATCTCTGTGTGCGTCTGGCCCACGCCGGCCCTCCAGAGCCTGCCCGATTCAGCGGCGAGTGTTAGAACCACTGAGGAGCTTTCAAGACAAAATCCACCTTCTGAGCCCTGAGCAGAGTGTGTGAGTGTTTGAAGTGGTTCTCCCCAGGCCACCTCAGTTAAATGTGTCACATCACAAGGCCCCCTATTAGAGAGCGGCAGAAGGGTCCTGTGTCTGCTCGCTTTAACGACGTGAAAGAGAGACGGAGCGCCGGGGAGATGGATGGCCACCTCCCACCCCGCGAGCTGTTCTTTGGAGCGCTACAGTTGAGATTTCAACATTGATCTGTCTTGTCTCCTCGGCTCTCTCTCTCTGGCTTGCAGGTGAGGCTCAGCATGTGTGTGTTTAACAACGGATCGAACAGGCAGAGCTGGAAGGGGACAGATGAAAGCCGAGGCAGAGGGTTTGAAGGAGCCTCTCAGAGATGACAACGGCTCTTTACCTCCATCTGTGCACATCTTGAGGGTTTGCCTCCAATGTTGTTTTTGTATCCACATATTACAGATAAACACACGTGAGGCCACAATGGGGGGCACAGTGCGGAATAAATCATCTAACCCAAAAGTCAAAGTAGATACATTTATCTTTTGGGTTTTTAACATATTATAGACAAAGTGATGAAATAAAGAAATAGTAAGTATATATATCTATCTATAATGAAATTATTTGTAGCTCCATTTTGCGTTCCCAACAGGAACTTATCACTGTTATATTCTACAGATTTTCCAAACAATACATCTAAAAACTATAAAGACATTAACCAGTTCATTATAAAGCATAGGCTGCAGCACTTTTAATTAGAGATGTCCCGATCTGATCACGTGATCGGGGATCGGAGCCGATCACATGATTTTTAAAAGATCGGAATCGGGAGAAAAAGATCGGGGATCGGGAATCCTTAAAAAAATTATTTTATTTAATGTTACAAAACAAAAATGACCATGTTCACGTCTTAAAGTCATCCTGAGGCCTTAGTTTTGGTTTAAAATTACACAACATCATGTATGTGTTGCTTCTTTTGGGCTTATTTTCAGACCTGGTTGCTTATTTCTCTCAAATCTGGCAACAGAGTGGGCGCAGTGTCTAATAGTAGCAGTAAGCTAACGAGAGGCTACGTTCAGCTGGTGACTCAGGAGTCGGGACAGAGCAAATGTCAGGAGTTTGGAAGTATTATAAAATTGAAAGCGAAGGCAGTGTAACAGCCAGATGCAATGTTTGCAAGAAGGATGTTCCGAGTGGTGGAAAGAACAGAGCTCCGTTCAACACGAGCAATCTAATACGATTGTTTGTTTTTTCTTTTTATTCCCCGTTTTTTTTCTCAAATTGAATTTATTGAAATCTCCAATATCAACGTAAGAGCTTGTGCCTCTTCGGGGGGTGCTAACACTTAACCATAAACGCAGTGATTCCCACAGCATGTTAATACTTTGGGGGGCCCCCAAAGTATAATGGCTCCCCCCAAAGTATAATTTGTGTGTTTTTTTAATTTTTTTACTCAGTGAGCACTCATTTGCATTTGCATTGGTGGCAATGAGTGCTCAGTGAGTAAAAAAAACTTAAAAAACCATAAATTATACTTTGGGGGGAGCCACCCATAAATTATACTTTGGGGGGAGCCACCCATAAATTATACTTTGGGGGGAGCCATTATACTGGTAAACAGCCTCTATGGGCGCGAGTCCAGACCCACTTTTGGAATCAAATGATGACGTCAGTGGGATATCTCCTTTAACAAACTCCTAAGCATCCCCGGGACAACATCACTAGCCCCGCCCCTAAAAAGGTGTGAACTTGAGCCAATCAAGGACTACTACTACTAGGTCGTCCTTAGACGAGTTTGCCAACGGGTTCGCCAATCCTCACGGTCCTCCATACACCCGGCCAGCTCTGTGGAGCTTTCCACCCCCACATCCTTCCTCAGCACCTCCACGTATGTTGGCGTGGGGCGCCCTCTTGGTCGGTGCCCGTGTGTTGGCTCCCAGAATACTAACTTGCCAGCTGGAAGTTCCTGGTGTCGATGGCAGTGACCTGCAAATTTCAGTTTCCTGGATGCCACCTTGTCACTCAGCCTGGGTAGCCCACCAGGACTAGCCCCGCTCCTACATTTTTGAGAGATTTCTGAGGAGATTTTTATTCACGCAAGCCCCCCCACACCACCCCGAGTCGTTCCCCCAAAGTATATTTCATTTCTGTGGGAATCACTGATAAACGTTATCGTTTACTTTCTCCGTCTTTATATGTAGATATTACTTTTCTCCGTTAATCTCCGTCACGTTGTTTCCAAAGCAACAACAACTTCCTGTCAACCGCGCTACCTCTCCTTCAAAATAAAAGCATGTCCATAAATAGGAAGCCAAGACAAATTACACTTAAGACATATACAACTGCAACGAAAGTAACCAACACAATGCAATATCCTTTTCAATTTCAAAGAACACAAATTGGGTTACATTAACAAATAACTATAAAACAACAATACTGTAGAATAAAAAAAATAAGTGGTTCGCTGCTGATTACTATTGAATTGTGTTATTGTGTGTGTGTAAGATGGAAATATAATACTTTATATAAATAATGTTTATTCATGTTATGTTAAGCTGCTGTTGTTCATTGCATTAATACTAGACTAGTTAGTCCTAAGGCTAGAATATTGCACTAAGCCACATTTTTATTTTATTTTATTATTTGTGACTGAATGTGAACTTGTGAAGCTAGTCAAGCTACCTCTTTCCAGTAGAGTTATTTTTGTTTTGTTACTGCACTATTTGCACTCAATTTGTTTACATGGTTATTTTGTGGTGGACCACTGATAAGCTTTATTTTGTTTTGATCCAATGCTGCACAACTGAACTGATCCAATGCTGCTGTGAAAAAAAGAAGCTATATCCATGTTAGATAGAATGGATAGTTGGGTACTGTCATTTAAATAAAGAAAATAACCTTAAGCGACAACTTGAATGCTTTTTTTTCTCTTAATGCATTGCATAAAGATCAGAAAAAATCGTTATCGGCAGATTGTCAAAATCAAATGATCGGAATCGGATCGGGAGCAAAAAAAAGGTGATCGGGACATCCCTACTTTTAATATGAGTAAAGAAATATGTTTCTCCATTCTGGTCTTTGGTGAATCAAGTATATACAGTAGGGCTGCACGATATTGAAAAAAACTGACATTGCGGTTTTTTTGTTCCCCTGCGATATATATTGCGTTTTTTAACCTGTTAAGCCCCAAGGTCCCGGCGGGTACTTTACTTTTTTTTTCACGACACTGTCTCAGGGGATCTTAATATTTAAGAACCTATTAATGTGTTATATCAGATTAACGGGAATAATCTCAGCTAACTGACGATACAAACCATTTTTACCAAAACAAAACACAAGTCTCATAAGAAGCATCTAAATGACCCCTTAGCGAAAAATGCTAACGGACTTTGGCACAGAACTCAAGATAAAAGTACCCTTATTACTTATCGTAGCTGCACATACAAGATATCCGATTAAAGCTGAGGTTCCACAGATTATATAGGTATTAGTATCATCACTGAGTGATCTGAACTCGCGACAGGGGAAGCAAACACAGACATCACAACACGTACCTTTACGGAGCTTCTAGGGGAGATCGTCTCACCGTAGCTGTCAATCTGATCAAAAGACGTGTTCAATGGCTTTAAAACGAGAAAAAACGCGGCTGAATCGGTTAATCCATAGGTTTTTAACGTCTCTGTATACATATAATAATTTCATTTATAATCCATAATTCCATTTTATGTAAAAATCGCAGAGCAAAAGTTAGCTGCTAATGGTAGCCACCAGAGTGGCTGCTGCTTCCGGTCTTGGCTATGCGGCAGTCTCACACACACATTACCAAATAAGGAGTGAGAGTGACGCGTAGCCAAACCGGAAGCTGCATACACTCTGGTGGCTACCATTAGCAGCTAACTTTTTGTGCTCCGATTTTTACATAAAAATGGAATTATGGATTATAAACAATTGCTTCAAAGCCACAGATACATTATTAACCTATGGATCAACCGATTCAGCCGCGTTTTTTCTCATTTAATGCCATTGAACACGTCTTTTGATCAGATTGACAGCTACGGGTGAGTCTGTGTTTGCTTCCCCTGTTGCGAGATGGATCGCTTAGATACCATACTTAAATAATCTGTGGAATCTCAGCTTTAATCGGATATATTGTATGTGCAGTTTCAATAAGTAATAAGGGTATCTTTATTTTGAATTCTGTGCTAAAGTGCGTTAGCATTTTTTTTAAAATGAATAAAACCGCACGTCCCTGCGGTGTGAATATCGCGCATGCGCATATCGCGGTTATCGCCATGACACGATATATCGTTCAGCCCTAATATACAGTATCATGTATTTCATTAAATCATTGTTGTACTACTTGCTCAAACAAGTTAAGCATAAGAACATTAAGTGAAATGAGTTTGGCTAAACATAAAATCACAAGTTTGAAAAATGTGAGGAGCAGAAATGTGACAGAGAGCTATCAGTGTGTGTGTTGTGTCACAGAGCAGCCGTGCTCCCCAGTGACCAGCCCTCCCATACAGCGCCATAATTGCATTTCTGGACACCCACCCACCCACTCAGCTCAGCTGGGCTTGGCAGGACCCCCACTCCCGCGGGGCGAACCTGGAATTCCCCTCAGAACACTGCTGGGCACCATTGTGGCTCCCTGGTCCCATTCAACACAGCTGACAACAGACTCAACACTGAATTGCTGGCTAACGTGTAAGAAGGGGAGGTTGAACTGAAAAGGTAATTACAACCAATGATGGCTGAAATATGTGGAACATTTTAAAATGTAAATGCGTAGAAAGGACTTCAAAAGGTGTGAAAAAGTTTACAAATCGCAAAAATCGTAAAAGCATTTAAATGCAGTGTTCCCAGAATGTCAAATATTACTAAAAAGGTTTAAAAGCTATTGAATTAGAAAAGCTAGCATGCATATCCTACAATGAGCTAATGGTGTTATGATGTTTGAAGGAAGTCGGGTGTGTTGGAATATGTGAAGTGTGTGTGTGAGTGTACCTCTGAAGCCTCCTTCCAGCAAGGCTGTGGCTCTGATCCTCTTCTGCCCGCCCCACTCGTACTCCTCAAAGCCCCGCCCATTTTCTCCAATCTGCAGAGTCATCGTCACCCTAGCGTACCCTCACGCTGACACAAACAACGGACACATGTTAATGAAAGCAACACATTTCACACATTTGGTGGCACTTTGTTCTTGAAAATAGTGGTGAGGTGTAAGAAAGGCCAGATCTCCATAGGACGCGTTATCTGTACTATACCAATGAGCAGCTGTGATGAGCACTACTATCGTCCGTTGTCAATAAAACAAGAATACATTTTGTTTATCTAAATAACATGTTTTCATAAAAACTACTTGAACCTAGCAACTTATCAGTGAAAGCTCCTACTACTTCCTTCTTCTGCTGGGAGGAATCTTCTGTGACATGTTATACCTTTTGTTCCTATACTCAATATGTTTTCAACAGGATGTAAGCTTTTCTCTGCTTTCAAATTAAAGGCCTTTCCATCTTGGAACAGATTCAAATAAATGCTCTGTTTAGCCAAAAGAAGGCTGTTTTGTGGCCAATTTAACCTGCTGTTTTGGACTGAAACATGTCACTAGTTCAGTACTAAGAATAACAAACCGCTCACATGGCCATGGTACAGCACTTTAACGCCTAGAGTGCAAAAGAGTTATTAGTGATTCTACAGCTAGTGGAACAGAGAGAAGGCAGTGGGGTGAGAAAACAAGTGGATTAGAGGTTAGTGGTAACGATTTGTTGTCTTTTTCGTGTATTCTAGGAAAGAACAGAACTGCTGAGCATCTACAGGAACGAATGACTGGAGACTAGGGCTGCTCGATTATGGCAAAAATCATAATCTCGATTATTTGGGTCAATAATTGTAATTGCGATTATTAAATGCGATTATTCATTGACTTTGAAAAAATCCATTTATTGGAGGAAAAAATGTGAACAGTATGTTTTTAACAGTTGATTACCCTGAACTTTAAGTATAATTCAACTGAAAAACCAAAATTAATAATTTTTTTTTTTTAAAAATCGTTTTATTTCGATTACGTTGTTTTCGTAATAGTTGCAAGCCGTAATCGCGATTAAAATAAGATTAATTGAGCAGCCCTACTGGAGACCAAGTTGGATATTATAGGCTGTCGTTGGTGGTGACATCTACATACAAGAGAGAAGACTTTTAAAGTCTCCCTGCGTGGGCTTCATCTTCAGCAAGCATAGGCCAAATTGGTCCTCATCTACAGATATGAAAGTGAGGTAACTGATCATTCAGGAGACGCACTGCCAATGGATAAGATACAAACTTGTCATATGGGATAAACCAAAGCCTTTAGCTTAAATGTTGTTGTGTCTGCTTTGCTACATCAGCATTTAAGACAGGTTCATATTTAACTTCAGCATATTTTAAACTTCAGCATGTAATTCACTAATTGAATAGAAGCCACCAATCCACATTCATTGTAATAATGGTGGTAACATATATTTAATGACGCAGGTATTGCTCTCGCTAAAATGACCACTATTCCAGTTGATCGCACTCTTTGGAATTATCTTTTTGGGAGTTATGTGTAGAACATTTCTTAATGGCAGTTGATAATGCATTGCCTGTGCACTCGCTTTAAGTTTGCCACAGCAAATTGCACTCCTAGATCTGTTTCTAATGTGAAAACTATTTAACCTACAGTAAAAATACTGCTTTGGAGTAGGGCTGAACGATATACCGTGTCATGGCGATAACCGCGGTATGCGCATGCGCGGTATTCACACCGCAGGGACGTGCGGTTTTATTCATTTAAAAAAAAAAAAATGCTAACGCACTTTAGCACAGAATTCAAAATAAAGATACCCTTATTACTTATCGAAACTGCACATACAATATATCCGATTAAAGCTGAGACTCCACAGATTATTTAAGTATAGTATCACAGCGATCCGATCTCGCAACAGGGGAAGCAAACACAGACATCACAACACGTACCTTTTACGGAGCTTTTACGGGAGATCTTCTCACCGTAGCTGTCAATCTGATCAAAAGACGTGTTCAATGGCATTACACGAGAAAGAAAAAACGCGCTGAATCGGTTGATCCATAGGTTGATAATGTATCTGTGGCTTTGAAGCAATTGTTTATAATCCTATAATTCCATTTTTATGTAAAAATCAGAGCACAAAAGTTAGCTGCTAATAGTAGCCACCTTGGTGGTATGCAGCTTCCGGTTTTGGCTACGCGTCACTCTCACTCCTTATTTGTTCATGTGCTGTGGTGTTGTAGAACTTCCCCTGCATGCACAGCAAACCACCAATCACAATCATTCTTGATCAGATCACAGCAGGGCCCCGCCCCGCCTAGTTTGCAGACCATCAAAAAACACTGGTAAAAAATGAGCGAGGCACAGGAGGACAATACCGGGAGAATGAAGATTTACTTCCAAGAAGAAAAGCAACATCTGCCATCTGGAACTATTTTGGCCTATAGAAAAAACCTATGGATTAACCGATTCAGCAGCGTTTTTTCTTTCTCGTTTTAATGCCATTGAACACGTCTTTTGATCAGATTGACAGCTACGGTGAGACATCTCCCCTAGAAGCTACGTAAAGGTACGTGTTGTGATGTCTGTGTTTGCTTCCCCTGTCCGAGTTCAGATCACTCAGTGATGATACTATATACCTAAATAATCTGTGGAACCTCAGCTTTAATCGGATATCTTGTAAGTGCAGCTACGATAAGTAATAATAAGGGTACTTTTATCTTGAGTTCTGTGCCAAAGTGCGTTAGCATTTTTCGCTCAGGGGTCATTTAGATGCTTCTTATGAGACTTGTGTTTTGTTTTGGTAAAAATGGTTTGTATCGTCAGTTAGCTGAGATTATTTCCGTTAATCTGGTATAACACATTAATAGGTTCTTAAATATTACGATCCCCTGAGACACTGTCGTGAAAAAAAAGTAAAGTACCCGCCGGGACTTTGGGGTTTAACAGGTTAAAAAAACGCAATATATACCGCAGGGGGGAAAAAATCGCGTGTCAGTTTTTTTCAATACCGTGCAGCCCTACTTTGGAGTACATTTACCCGAAATGTATTCCAAAATGGCATTGCAGTGCAACTTTTACGCAATAACAGCACCAGTATAGAATTGACGTCGGACTGAAAAAGTTATGCACAATCACTGCACCTCTAGATTTGTCAATGGTCAAGTCTTTCAGTTAATCCCATATGATGAGAATGCAGAACCACCACGTAAAGGAAGTAGGAGATATTGGTTGGCATTTACACTAATCTACAGAAGTGATTGGACAGCATCTACAGGAAGAGAAGGGTTGACAAGCTGTCCCACTGGTTTCAGGGCCAAGAGTGCACTACCTGGATCAGGCATTGTTCCACATGTCTACTCATATCTTCCTCGCTCCCAGCCAAGGGGGCGCTGCACAGCGGACATACCTGGCCGCCCTCCTCAGGCTTCCTCCTCTTCATCTTTCCTATACGTGCTGGAAATGGACAGACAAGGGAGAGACCGATACAGATTTTAATGTCAATGTTTATAATCACGTGAAGGGTTAGTACAATTCAAGCACTTTCAAGGTACCAAAAAGTTCCAGACTTTCAAGCCTTTATTATCTAATCTGGATTGTTAATATGAGTATACATTTACACTCAAAATTATTTCAAAACATATTCTTTTTTACCAGTTATTCAACAACGATAAATGTATGTTATGATTCGGTTAGTGCATTTCATGCTTGCTTATTTTAATTGGACCTCATTGGACTTATCTAGCTATGAAGTACTTTTGTATTTATACGAGTGATGTGTAGATGAAAAAACAGAATATGTTGAAACTTCAATCATTTCTCAAAGGATTTTTCTTCAAATTCACATACATTTCTAACTTGAATTGTTCAAATGAAGCATTTTTCAGACTTTGTAAGAAACACCTACAATAAAAACCCTGAGGGATATTTGTGTTGGATGGATGTTCCTGGATTGGATATGCATTGTAATATAGCTGCCCTTCATTCTCAATGCTTTAAGTCCATAAGGCTGAGAGGAGGCGGAGCTAAACTTGGCCCCTTCTGAAATGTGTTAAGAAAGAAATGACAAGACGTGACAGTCTCAATCCCCCTTCCTCCTCTCTACATCCACACCCTCCCTCTCCTCTTGGTTCCTCCCCTGCCCTCCTGTCACAGCTTCCCCCCACCACACACACATTTAATTAGAAATTTAACAGAGCAGAACAGCCGTCATTGCGCCCCGAGTCTCTGTCGTTTTTTCTTAACTGCAAATGGCGCGCGGACATTAATTTTTAGCTGGGTGGGAAAGCAGAGGGGGCCAAAAGGGACATAAGGAAATACAGAGGATGGAGGGAGCGAGGCTGAAGGGTTCAGGACAGAAACGGCCTCCTCCTCCTCTCCTGACGCTAATCGAGGGGAGCGTGGTTAAATAGAGAAGGGAAGGAGCCGCTAATTAGGTCCGGCAGGGATCTCTGCCCCCCCCTCAGCCGCTATACCCCACATGAGAATGATTCCTGGTTCCACATGAGGGCGGAAAGAAAGTAATGGAGGGCGAAGTTTAAACTAAGTTTCTTGTCATGGGCGTCAAGTGCAAAAGGCTGAGTTATCTGCGTGTGCCCTGAGACTAAAACCAGCACAGTTCTTAAAATAAAGATCTGATGGGATATTAATGCTTTTTGGGTTGACAAAGTGGACATGGGTGACTGACACAAGTTGGCAGGTTTTATTCAGTAGCACGAAAAAGAAAGTCAGCTGACATTTGACAATCGTTGTAATCACTTCTTAAAACTCATTAGTTAACAAGCCTTTAACTAATGATGATGACACCACTCTGTTTTGCCCGACATCCATGTTCCACTTGTTTTGACTTCCTTTTTTTTGTATTACTGCTGCTTTTGTTGAAAAACTGTGGCCGTTTCTCAATCTCGAGGATACTGGATTCCAAGCCAATATTTCAAGGATGCTACGTCATCAAGTGGCGCAGCAGCACCGTTCCAATCTCCAGCATACTTGGAATTCCACAGAGGCCGCGTCCTTGGTTTGGGGGAATTTCGAGGCTGCACATGGGTAGACTTCGCGTCCATAAAATCCCCACAATGCTTTGCGCACGGACCAATTTCAAAAACCCTTGCGGAGAATGGCTGAGCCGACGCAGCACACATTTAAATGTAAGTATGTAGTGCCGTAGAACATGTGTTGGTAAATATGTTACTTTGTTACATTTGTTATCACCAACAATGTGTTCCATGAAAGTAAAGCAAGTTCATAATTAGATAGACATCGTGAGGTATTTATTTTCGGTACAGTTTATGTTGTTGAAACCGTTAGAGAGAGTGGCACACTTGTTAGCCTGTTCCATTCTTCTTCGTTTTCCGAAGCCGTGGCTTGGAAGTATACTTGCTTCGTTTCTGAAGGAAGTGACTTGGAAGTACGTGACTACCAAGCCAGCATCCTCGAGATTGAGAAACGGCCTGGTGTGGGTTTGGGGAACTTTGACCGCATGCTCTGTTGCTGCCTGATCGACATGTAAAGCACTTTGTGACGCTGTATCAATTAAGTTATTATTATTTGTGTTAACATGAATGAGTAATCATTCATGAAAAAGTAAAAACTGGAGCCACAGTTGTCTGTCATGTGACTTCATTAATGAGTATTGATAGATAAACATCATCAACACCACAGAAAATACACATAAGTAACTTGTTGTTCCAATAATCAAAACACACACAGTTCAGAAATGCCTACTTAGGTAAAAAATACCATTTAAAGACTCATTGTATAAGAGACCTTTTTTTTGTCTCACTTGAAACTGGGCATATTATGTCATTTGTGTTAATCATTATTACATTGTATCATTCGTTTTTTAACTTGTTTTGCAATCATCTCCTGGAACTTGAATTCAAGTGTTATCCATTTATTATATTTAGCATTCATGCTAAATATAATAAATGGATAAAATGCAATATTTTAAATTAAATAATTATTTGTATTTATTTAAGTAAAGTAAATCATGAAAACGACTTAAAATTAAATGGAGCCATGTACAGTATTATTAAGCCACATTAAGAAGATAGTGAATCAAGACGCTGTGTGTACATACCATTCAATCTTGTTTGCCTGTTTGCTCGAACTCGTAAAAACGTCTGCAGGCAGAGAGGAAAGAAGAGGGAGGAAATAACATTAGACAAAAATAAAACAACTAAACATGTACAAGTATGATAATAACTTTCAGAATGGGATTGCTTTGGATTGCTGAGACTGGGCACTGTAAACAAAACCTACATGTCTAGTGATCTCCACATCCTCCATGACTCTGAGCTTCACCCTCAGCTCATTCTATTGCCGCCAAAACTCACTGCTGCAAAAACGACCAAAGTGTGTTTCCAGATAGTGTTCATCGCTGCAAACTAACGCCAGTTTCTACAATTTAATACGGATGGAAAAGGATTGAAAGTG